TGTTTCCTATAACATTATGGCTTCCTCCGGATGAATTTATAATTAATTGTTTCTCTCTCTTTCTTTCTCTTTCTCTCTGTCTCTCTCTCAAATGTTCGTGTAACAGTAGATCCAAGAAAATGTATACTGTCATAAAATCATATGCTCTTGAAATGGAATGTGTAAATAAAAGCTGGCATCTGTAGCAAAGATGAATCTATTTGCTTTGTAATTATAAACACTGTTTGGCCCCCAAAAAGAGATAAGGAAATATCTCACTCTCTTTGCAAAAGTGGGAGAGTATATGTGTGGAACATCATCTATAATACTGGACTCAATATGTTGATTATATTTGCTAAGCTTCTTTCTTTTCTTTTTTTATAATTTGCTGTAAGGCAGGGATCACTAGTTGAGCAGAAGAAAGACATTAATTTAAAGTGGTTATACAAATGAATAGCTGAAGCCTACATTGTGTCTGAGTTGGAGGACAACATTTCCCTGCTACATAAGTAGAATGACATTAAAGATATTGACTGATGTGAATGAGAAAATTAACCATCATCAGAACTGTCACCATGAAGGGTCTGCACCCTGAATTTGATCTGAACATGAATGACTAAGCGGAAAGATGGATTTCCCTGTATCCTCCTTAGACAGGTGTAGCAAAAAGACCCAAAGAGAACATGAAGAGGAAACTAAAAAAGATTTCTAAGAGAGGTCCTTATGGAAGAGCAAGTTTTTATGAGTCCTTTTCTGGAAAGAACAGTCATTTGGAAGGGTACGTGTGTGTGTGTGTGTGTGTGTGTGTGTGTGAAGGGGTTGATTTCTCAGCTCTACAGTTCTCTGAATTCTGAGTACTTGAGGGAACCCATTAATACCATTCTGGACTATATCCTCCTTATGTGCATATATATTATATTAAAAAAATTCCCTCAAAGACATAGATATTGATATATTTAAATGAGAAAAAAATAAATGGGATAAGAAAAATAACTTACTTTGTAAATGAACCACGAGAGACAAGAGTGGAGCAGTGTAAGGAGTGTTGGATTTCAGGTTCCTGATGCCAGTCCCAGCAATTTATCTACTGCACCACTGAGCTGACAATGGAGAATGAATTTGAGGCTCACAAAGTGAATTCATCTGACAAATATCAAAGAGCTTTTCAGCAACAGAGGTGAGATTTCAACCCAGGTATTACGACTCCAGTATCACTACTATTGCCACTCTAGCATTCATGGTTTCACTCTTTGCTTTTAGCCATATAGGCATTTGTCTTTTTTTTTTTTTTCATAGAAATGGACCATATTTAATAGGGCTTGTCTAGGGATTGGTGCAGTTCAGGGAGGAATTTCCTTTGCAGTAATAAAAGGAGATATACTGTTGTGACAACAATAACTATTATTATTATCAATGAAAATATTGATAACAAGAATGAAAATGTTTTATGAAAAGTGGTTTATTTGATCCTCCCAATAAACCTATTATCACTGTCCCCGTTTTACAGTTGAACAAATGGAGACTCAGAAAGTTTCAATTACTTATCCATAAGCAGTACTTGATATCAGAATGAGGAATTCAACCAGAACTTCTATGCTTTTTGTATAGCACTATCTACCCCTGGTCCTACATAAATACATACATATCTGCATGCATGCTTGCATACATACACACACATTCATATATATATATATATATAATATATATATATGTATGTATATATATACTGAATTTTTATACTATTTGGTTTTTTAAATATCTTACTCCTCAGCATTCTGTGAGCAAAGTAGCAGAGATATCAACATCTCCATCTTACTAATGATAAATGTCACTGTTTCAAGGCAAAATGTAGAGTAGGAGGGGGAAAACGTATGTCATTCATGTCCTCAGTTTCACTTCTCCCCTTCTTTACACATCTGTTAAACATAGTACATATATACATTGTACTTCATTCACAAAATACATTATTTAGTTCACTCATTTTTGAATATATTCACTAAACTTATCCCTACGAAAGCATCTATAATACTTTAAGACAATGGTTCTTGGAAGATTATTCATATTTAAGTAAAGAACCCCTGAAAAAACCTAAAGACGCAAAAGAATGAATTTAGATAAGATTAATCTAAGGATGAGATGAGTTAAAATATCTATCCATGATCACACACAAACTATTTTTTTCAAAGTATCACAGTGTATTTTAAATTTTGTCTAAGATTTTTTTCTAGTTATAAATTCTATGACACATTATTTAACCTATTTGTCTGAGAATCGATTTCCCAGAGAAAATCTGCTGAACATGACTGGTGTGCTGTCATATTTTCCTAATATACCAGAGAAAAAAAGATTGACAAAACAATGTCTGGATTTTGAAAAAATATTTTTAAATCTGTGTTTTTAAACACAGATTTAAAAAAATTAAATCTATGTTTATTTGATAAAATAGTTTCAAAATATATATAAATTTTTTAATATTTATTTTCAAAATTTTGAGTTTTAAATTCTTTCCCTTCCTCTAGCCCCTCCCTCACCCATTGACAGGGTAACCAATATGATATCAATTATTCATATGAAATCACACAAAACATGTTTCAATATTAGCCATGAGGCAAAATAAAATAGCCATACACCAAAATACCCAAAAAAGGTGAATTAAGTTTAAAAATTATGCTTCAATCTGTACTGAGTTCATCAGTTCTCTCTCGGTAGGCAGAGAGCATTTTTTATCATTAGCGCTTTGAAACTGTCTCGAATCATTGTCTTGATCACAATATTTAAATCTTTCACAGTGGATCATCCTTACAATATGGATCTATCTCTCTACAATATTCTTCCAGGGTCTGCTCACTTCACTTTACCTAACTTCATATCTTCCCACATTTTTCTGAAAATATTTTGCTCATTACTTTTTTATAGCACAACAGTATTCAACCAGAATCATATACAAAAACTTGTTTAGCCATTCCCCAGTTGAAGGGCATCCTTTCAATTTCCAATCTTTACCATGACAAAAAGAGCTAATTTAAACTTTTCTGAATGAATAAATTCTTACTCCTTTTCCTTTTCTTTGTGATAGACAGTGAGGAGTGCTTTTGCTGGATCAAGTGGTATGCACAGTTTGACAGCCCTCTGAGTGTAGTTCCAAATTGTTCTCCAGAATAGTCAGATGAGTTTATAACTCCACCAACAGTGCATCAATGTCCCAATTTTTCTACATCACCTCCAGGAATTCTTATTTTCCTTTTCTGTCATGGTAGCCATTCTGATTGGTATGAAGTGTTATCTCAGAGCTATTTTAACATGCATATCTCTAATCATTAATGATTTCTATCATCTTTACATGATTATTGGCAGCTATGAAATCTGCTTATGAAAGCAGTCTTTCAGACCTACCATCTCAAAACTGTTCATATCTTTTGACCAGTTATCAGTTGGACAATGATTCATATATTTTTTTATAAATTTGGCTAAGTTTTCTATATCTCTGAGAAATGAAACCTTAGGGAAATTTTCTATAACTTCATCCCCCCAATATTTTCCTGTTTTCCTTCCAAATTTGACTGTCAGTTTTTTTATTGGAATTTTTCTTCATTTAATGTAAGCAAAATTATTCATTTTTTCCCTCTGATCCTCTCTTTCTCTTCGTTGGGCATAAACTTTCCTCTAATCCATAGATCGGACAAGTAGATTGTTTCATGTTTTCACAAATTGTTATGCTATCATCCTTTATAACTAAATTATTTATCTATTTTGAACTTGTTTTTTCAAACAGTGTAAGATGTTAATCTATGCCTACTTCCTCTCAAATTACTTTTTAGTTTTCTCAAAAAAAAGTCAAATAGTGAGTACTTCCTACAAAATTTGGATCTTTGTGTTTATCGAACACTAGATTGCTGTAGTCATTTACTGCTGCGTATTGTAGACCTAATCTATTTGACTGATCTACCATTCCAGTTTTAGCAAACATCAGCTTGTTTTCATGATTAACATTTTCTAATATTTTTCTTGAACTTTGATAGTGATAGACTGCCTTCCTTCATATTTTTTTATTAATTCCTATGAGATTCTTGTCCTTTTGTTCTTCCAGAAAAATAAAATTGCTATTGTTTTTTTCTAGCTCTATAAATTAGTTTCTTAGTAGTCAATTGGTATGGAACTGAATAAGTAAATTAATTTAAATAGCATTGTAATTTTTTTATTATTTTAACTCAGCCTACATATGAGCCATTAATATTTCTGCAGTCGTTTAGATATATCTTATCTGTACAGAAAAGTGTTTTGTAATTGTGCTCACATATTGTCTGGGTTTGTATTAGTAGATAGACACCCAAATATTCAATATTGTCTGCAGTTATTTTAAATGCCTTTTTTATATTTTCCTATTCATTTGTGTTGGTAAAATATAGAAAGAGTGATGATTATTTTTAAAATTTATTTTGATTAATTTATTTATTTTATGGTAATTTTTATTTATTTTTTTCTTTTCAACATTTACTTCCACAAGATTTTGAGTTCCAAATTTTCTCCCCATCTCGCCCCTCCTCCCACCCCAAGATGGCATGCATTCTGAATACCCCTTCCCCTAGTCTCCCTTCCCTTCTATCTCTCCCCCCCCTTTTCTTACCCCCTTCCCCTTCAATTTTCCTGTAAGGCAGGATGGATTTCTGTACCCCATTTCCTGTATTTCTTATTTCCCAGTTGCATGTGAAAACTTTTTTTTAAACATATGTTTTTAAAACTTTGGGTTCCAAATTTTCTCACTTCCTCCCTCCCCACCCACCCTCATTGATAAGGCAAGCAACTAAATATAGGTTATATATGTGCAGTTATGCAAAACACTTTCATAGTAGACATGCTGTGAAAAACTGTTTCCCTTAATCCTATCCCACCCCCCGCATTTATTCTATTCTTTCTTTTGACTCTGTCCCTCCTCAGAAGCATTTGCTTCTGATTACCCCTTTTCCCAATCTGCTCTCCTCTCTGTCATCTCCCTACTCTCTTGTCCCCTTCCCCCCCCATTTTCCTGTAGGGTAAGACAGATTTCCATACCCAATTGAGTGTGTATGTTATTCCCTCCTTAAGTCAAATCCTATGAGAATAAGATTCACTCATTCCCTCTCACCTTCGCCCATTTCCCCTCCACTGTAAGACCCTTTTCTTTTCTGTTTTTTTTGTGAGATAATTTACCCTGTTCTACCTCTCCCTTTCTCCTTCTCCTAGTATAATTCTCTATCACCTTTTAATTTTATTCTCCAGATATGACCCCTTCATTTTCAACTCACCCTGTGCCATCTATCTATCTATCTATCTATCTATCTATCTATCTATCTATCTATCTATCCATCTATCTATCATCTATCTATCTATCTATCTATCTATCTATCCATCTATCTATATCACTATATACGTACATATAATTTTCCCCCTCCAACTACCTTAATACTGACAAAGGTGGCATGAGTTAAAAATATCATCTTTCCATGCAGGAATGTAAACAGTTCAACCTTAATAAATCTCTTATGATTTTCTCTTTCTTGTTTACCTCTTCATGTTCCACTTGAGTCTTGTATTTGAAAATTTGAATAGAAAATTCAGCTTTGGTCTTTTCATCAAGAATACTTGAAAATCTTCTATTTCACTGAATGATCATTTTTTCCCCTGCAGTATTATACTCAGTTTTGCTGGGTAGGTGATTCTTGGCTGTAATCCTATCTCCTTTGCCCTCCAGAATATCATATCCCATGCCTTGTGGTCCCTTAACATAGAAGCTGCTAAATCTTGTGTTATCCTGATTGCATTTCCATAATACTTGAATTGTTTCTTTCTTGTTGCTTGTAATATTTTCTCCTTGACCTGGGAACTTTGGAATTTGGCTACAATATTCCTAGGAGTTTTCCTTTGGGGATCTCTTTCAGGAGGAGATCAATGGATTCTTTCAATTTCTATTTTGCCCTCTGGTTCTAAAATATCAAGACAGTTTTCCTGGATAATTTCTTGAAATATGATGTTTAGGCTCTTTTTTTGATCATGGCTTTCAGATAGTCCAATAATTTTTAAATTCTCTCTCCTGGATCTATTTTGTAGGTCAGTTGTTTTTCCAATGAGATATTTCACATTATTTTCTAATTTTTCATTGTTTTGGATTTGTTTTACATAATCTTGATTTCTCATAAAGTCACTAGCTTCCAATTGCTCTATTCTAATTTTTAAGGAGGTATTTTCTTCAGCAATCTTTTGGATTTCCTTTTCCATTTGTCCAATTTTGCTTTTTAGGGCATTTTTCTCCTCATTGGCTTTTTGAACCTCTTTGGCCATTTGGGTTGGGCTATTTTTAAGGTGTTATTTTCTTCAGTATTTTTTGGGTCTCCTTTAGCAAGCTGATGACTTGTTTTTCATGATTTTCTTGCATCACTCTCAGTTTTTCCTCTACTTCTCTTACTTGCTTCTCAAAATCCCTTTTGAGCTCTTCTGAGGCCTGGGACTGATTCATATTTTTCTTGGAGGCTTTGGATGTAGGTGCTTTGACTTTGTTGTTTTCTTCTGGTTGTATGTTTTGATCCTCTTTGTCACCAAAGTAAGATAAAATAGTCTGATTCTTTTTGCGCTGCTTGCTCATGGTCCTGGCCAATTACTTGAGTTTTAAACTCTTTGTTAAGGTAAAAGTTTGCTTCCAATGTGTAGAATATACTGTCCCAAACTTCAGAGTTTGTAAAGCTATTTTCAGAGACACTTCTAGGGATCTGAAAATTTTCAGTTCTTCCAAGGTGCTATGATAAGGGGAGAGGTGTTTTCTCTACACCACCACAACAAGCTCCACCACACCAGCATTCCTCCTCTCCCCAGGCCTGCCCCTCGGAACTGTGACCCAGATCCAAGCACCAGTAAAGCAAGAGATTCCTGCCTCAGCACTGGCAAAGAGATCCCTGCAATCCCCCTCTGTTCAGCTACTTGATTCCCCCTCAGTCTGTGGGCTGGAAGTTCAGGAAACAGCAACGGCCCTGGCCCATGCTTGAGACTTGAGACTGAGACCTGGGTCCTCTAGCACTGCAGTCACAGACTTTTCCCTCTGACTTTCTAAAATGTCTTTGGTGTTCCTGCGTTGAGAAGTCTGGAAACTGCCACAGGCATCCATGATTCAGTCCTCTGAGGACTGCTCCAGGATTGCTGTGGCCTTTGTGCCCAAGCCAAACTGAACTCCTCTCCCTGCCCAGCATGCTATACCATTCTGATCAACCATCCAGGCTGTCTTTGGCTGGAAATTTGTTTCACTCTGTCTTTTTGTGGGTTCTGCTGCTTTAGAATTTGTTTAGAGTCATTTTTTTAGGTATTTGGAGGGGTTTGGGGGGAGAGCTCAAGCAAGTCACTGCATTCCCTCCGCCATCACGGCTCTGCCCTCTACAAGAGTGATGATTTTTTCAGTTTTATATTTTCCATCTTTGTTAAAGTTGATCATTTGAAAAAAAATGATTGATTTTCTTAGGGCAATCTAACTATATTATATCATCTGCAAAGATTGATAGTTTTGTTTTCTCATTGCCTATTTTTATTTCTTCAACTTATTTTTTCTTATTTTATTGTTATATTTCACACTTCCAGTATAATATTGAATAACACTTGAATTGAATAAAAGAGGACTGAAGAAAATAACATCTTAAAAACAGAATAGGGGTAGCTATGTAGTGCAGTGCATAGAGCTCCAACCTTAAAGTCAGGAGGACTTAAGTTCAAATCCAGCCTCAGACACTTGACACTGACTAGCTGTGTGACCCCAGGCAAGTCACTTAACCCTGATTGCCTAGCCAAAAAGAAAAAAAAAAACAAATCAAAACAAAACAGAATAGGCTAATTGTTAAAAGACATACAAAAATCCAATGAAGACAAGAATGCTTTGAAAAGCAGAATTGGACAAATGGAAAAATAGGCGCAAAAATTCACTAAATAAAATAGTTCAGTAAAAAGTAAAATTGACCTAATGGAGATGGAAGTATTAAAGGTCACTATAGAAAATAATTCTGTACCAATTAAATTGAGTAAGTGGTACCTAATGACTCTATGAAACATCAAAAACAATAAAACAAAACCAAAAGAGTAAAAAAAAATGTAAGAAAATGTGAAATATTTCGTTGGAAAACTGACATGGAAAATAGATCAAAGAGAGATCATTTTAGAATTTTAAGGCTATCTGAAAATCATGACAAAAAAGGAGCCTAGACATCATCTTTCAAGAAATTCTCAAGGAAATCTGCCCTGATATTCTAGAACCAGAAGGTAAAATAGAAATTGAAGAATCCACTGATTACCTCCTGAAAGAGATCCCAAAATGAAAACTCCCAGGAATGTTATAGCCAAATGCCAAAGCTCCCAGGTAAAAGAGAAAATGTTGTAAGCAACGAGAAAGAAACAATTCAAGTATGATGGAGCCACAGTCAGGTTAACACAAGATGTAGCAGTTTCTATATTAAAATATCTGAGGGCTTGGCATATGATATTGCAGAGGACAAAGGGACTAGGTTTGCAACCAAGAATCAAATCCCCCCCCAAAAAAACTGAGTATAATCATTCAGGGGGAAAAAGGATATTCAATGAAATAGGGTTATTTCCAGCATTCTTGATGCAAAGACCAGAGCTGAATAGAATATTTGATTTTCAAATACAAGACTCAAGAGAAGTATAAAAAGGCAAATAGGAAAAGGAAAACAGGAGGGAATTAATAAAGATAAACAGTTTACATACCTAAATGGGAGGTAGAATAAGGTAAATTACCTCACCTAAAAGACAAGAAAGAACTTTTAGAGTTGAAGAGAAAATGGGGGAGATGGTGGGGAATGCTTCAACCTTACTATCATCAGAATTGACTCAAAGAAGGGAAAAAATGTACATGCTCAATCATATAAAGAAATTTCTCTTGCCCTACAAGAAAGGATATGGGGAAAGGGATAAGAGAAGATGAAGGATTTCATAGAAGAGAAAGCAGGTTGGAAGAGGTGGTAGTCAGAGTCAAAGTAACTTTTGAGGAGGGATAGGATAAGAGGAGTAAAACAATAGAATAAATGGGGGAAATAGTATGGAGGGAAATAGATTTAGCAATCAAAACAGTGAAAAAAATTGAATCAAGTGTCTTTGATAAAGGCCTCATCTCTCAAATATAGAGAAATGAGTCAGATTCACAAAAATAAGAGACATTTCCCAATCATCCAATGATAAAAATGATCATTTTTCAGATGAAGTAATCAAAGCTATATTTAACCATATATAAACAATGCTCTAAATCACTCTTGATTAGAAAAATACATTTTAAAACAATTTTGAAATACTGCCTCACACTTATTAGATTGTCTATTTGGACAGAAAAGGAAAATGAAAAATGTTGGAGTGGATGTGGAAAAGTTGAAACACTAGTACACTGTTGGTGGAGTTATGAACTGATTCAATCATTATGAAAAACAATTTGGAACTATGTCTAAAGGCCTACAAAACCATGCATATCCTTTGACCTAGCAACACCAGTACTAGGTCAGTATCCCAAAAGAGATTTCAAAAAAAGAACAAAAAAGGTCCTATATGTACAAAAATAATTACAACAACTCTTTTCTGGTGGCAAAGAATTGTAAATTGAAGGGAAGACCTTAAATTGCAGAATGGCTGAACAAGTTATGGTATATGTTTGTGATGGAATACTATTGTGTTACAAGAAGTAATGAGCTAGATGCTCTCAGAATAAAACCAGGAAAGACTTACTTCAATTTATGCAAAGTGAAACGAGTAGAACCAAAAGAACATTGTTCACAGTAACAGCAATATTGTAAGATGATCAACTGTGAATGATTTAGCTATTCTCAGTCATGCAATAATCCAAGACAACTCTGAAGGATTCATGATTGAAAAAAACTATTCATCCCCAGAGAAAGAATTGAATACTGAGTTTTCTTTTGATCTATGTTTTCTTTTTCAATATCACTAATATGGAAATGTGTTTTGTACCACTATTCATGTACAACCTACATCAAATTTCTCACTTTCTCAATGGGGACCAGGGTGAGGAGGAAGAGAATTTGAAACTCAGTTTTAAAAATGAATGTTGAAAATTGTGTTTCCATGTAATTGGGGAAAATAAAATACTAAAAGAAATTCTTCCATCTTTTTTTTATTTACCAATTCAAATAAAATGATATATTTCTCTTCTTCCAACTATAGTTTATTTCCCATTCTCAAAGATTCATAAGTTAGAAGGCTTTTGAGTTGCAAGACATATGAGAAATATTAAATTTAATAGAAATTTCATTCCAGTAACTGGCAAAATTAAAGTTTAAAGGTTAATAAATGTATTGTTAATAATTACATTTTCTATCTTTCTATAGGGTCCCTTAGAAAAGCTGTTTTAATGTATTCATGTGTTCTTGATGAATGCATTATTTTTCATGTTTTCTAAATTCTGTAGCAAATGAGCTATTTGAGAGATTAAAATCCTGATCCTGTAAATGATATTTGGTGGAACTTTGAAGAAACCACATAAAGTCTCTGAAAGGCAAAGATTATTTACCTTGAAAATATCTCTACTGTTTCTCATTTGTACTCATTTTTTCCCTTGATTCTGCAATTAAAGTTTTTAGCTCTGAGACATCTCAAGAGAAATTGAACTGAAGGACTATGTGAACTGTCCCTGTTCTCTGGACAGATTCCTTAAAGGATTTAATTAGAGGAGAAGAAGTTTTCAGAACACAATATTAAAATGGCTCACAGACATGACATGGAGTTTTTACTGAATATCAATAAAATCCTCCTTTGCAGACAAAAACAGCCATGGACTCACATGGAAACAACTTCACAATCTAAGAAATTGCAATTGTTTCAAAAAATACTGAGGTGAGGAAATTGGGAGAAAAAATTTGGAAACAATTAGACCTTTTAATGTGAAATGAATTTCTGTGGTCTTTCCTGTTTCTGTGGTGACAGCAGGATGAGTGGTAGTGAATATCATTTTTATTGCCCAAAGCTGCTGGCTTTCAACACCAAGGAAAACATATCAGAATCCACGACTTGGAATAGTTGACTTCATGGAGAGGTAATATATTTCTAAAAGATATTCGCATTCTGCTTCTATCCCAAACTATGTTTTGTGTTAAGATCATGAAGTAGATGTTAACCTAAGCTGAATAAGTGTTTTTCATTTAATTCAGTGTGAAATGGTAAGGAGTTGTGTTATCAAAATAAAGCATTAAACCACTTGGAAAAATCCCTGTTGGTAGTCTCACATGACCAATTTTTAATCTATTTAAGAAGTTAAGGATATAGTTGGAGAAATTGGATGATTCAGCTGATTATTTAAAGATGTAAGGTACATGGGGCACTTCAGAGAATTATCCATTGTGAAGTGACATCTTTGCAAAGAGATTAGAAAAGTATAATTATCAGGCTTAGGAAAATGTTCAGAAAATGCCATATGATATTGATTTCAAAAGAGTGTTTTAGGGATCTGATTTTGACTATTAATAAGACAATAGCTTCAGAAAAACTATAAAGCAGAAAAAATACATGATCTCTTTCATTTCTTCCATCCACATTGAAATGTCTGATGAATATGACATGATAATGATAATAACATAACAATAATGATTATTTTATGGCGATTTTGTAATGCTTGTTATTTTCTAGTTCTGTAATAAGTCCTTTAATTAAAAAAACATACTTATTAGGAAACATACAATTTTAGGATCTGATAAACATATTTGGAGAAGTGTCAATATTAATTTAAAGTTATATCTTTTGATTTATTACTTGCATTTTAATAAGGGTATTATGGAGAAAAAAATCCTTATTGTCACAATGGAACAAATCCCAATTGATTGATTGAAATGACATGTTATTAGTATTTAACTCTTTAGTCATAGAGGGTCATTTGAATGACTCTCAGATTATTTAAGGAAAATAATTAATTACTTAAAAACAATAAATCTTGTCATTGAGGTTATGAGGGTACCTTGAATCAGTCTTATATTTCTGTGCCTTAGCCTTTTTTCCATTGGAATAACCACCAATTTTTTTCTTCCTTTGTGAGAAAAATATTTTATTTTTGAAGTGGAACTGTCTTGGAAATTTTAGGTCACTGATGCTTCAATTTAAAAGGTTGTATTTCCAAAAAGAAACTAAAATACTTATGCCATTGGAAAAGGGGAAACGTACTGTCAGGCAGTCACCCCAGACTGCCTTTGTAGTCCTTTGTACAGCAAAATATTCATTAAAATGCATTTTGTAGCAACAAAATCTAAAAATAATATAAGTGAGCATTTATTGGAGAATACGCAAAGAGGACAGAATATGTCTGACTTACAAGAAAATGTGAATATCTGCAATTTAGGGAAATACTAGATTCTTCATGAATTAAAGTAAAGTAAAATAGGCAGAAAATGGAAAACAATCTCCACAATGATGACAGAACTATAAATAGAAACAAAAATTGAAAAATAAAAAACAACAACACAAAAGTAATGTAATTAGAGTGATCAAACTTATCACAGGAAATATTTGAGAAAGGTTCCTTATTCCCTTTATTACAAAGAAAAGAAACTATAACTAAGGCTTATTTCATATACTATCAGATAAAGGGAGTTATATTAAGAAATGAAAGAAATTAAATGGGGTCATTAAAATGTTTATGTTTCATAATTATCTTTATAGGTGAAATGTGACTGTTGAAGCTACAGAAGAACAGCCAACTTTTGTAAGTGAGATTAAAATTTGCAAATAGACTCTCCATCATTTCTTCTTTGCCCTCCCCCCTACAAAATCTCTGTGAAGCAGATGTTTCACTTTTATGACCAGTATTCTGGTGAGGAAACTGATGCCCAAAAAGGTTAAGAAGATTATCCATTAAAATGGGCAAATGTATGAGCTGAACTCTAGGCTTTGCTAACTACAAGTTTGGTATTATATTCAATAAACAATTACTGTCCCCGCCCCCCCACCCAAAAAAAACATGGAAACCAGAAACAATGTCACCAAGTTTGTCCTCCTGGGGCTTACCCAGAATCCAGAGGTACAAAAAACACTATTTGCTGTATTCTTAGTTATCTACATTTCAACTATAATGGGCAACATTCTAATAATCCTAACTGTCATTAGAAGTAAGAGCTTGAGGTCCCCTATGTACTTTTTTCTTGCCTTCTTGGCATTTGTAGATACTCTCTATTCCACTGTCATTGTCCCTAAAATGACCCTAGACATGCTCCATGAAAGGGCAACCATTTCTTTCCAAGCTTGCATGGTGCAGCTCTTTTTGGAACACCTATTTGCTGGGGCTGAAATTTGCCTCCTCGTTTTTATGGCCTATGATCGCTATGTAGCCATCTGTAAACCCTTGTATTACTTAGTCATTATGAGGTGGCAGGTATGTGTTCTAATTGTGGTGGCATCCTGGATTGGAGGTTTCATGCATTCAATAGTCCAGCTCCTTTTTATTGTTAGTCTTCCATTTTGTGGACCCAATGTAATTGATCACTTCATTTGTGACATGTATCCTTTGTTGAAACTTTCCTGCACAGATACCTATATAATCGGCATCTCAGTGGTTGCAAATGGAGGATTAATGTGCACAATTTTCTTTTTGCTGTTGCTTCTCTCCTATGGGGTCATTCTCCACTCTTTGAAAAGGCAAAGTCTGGAAAGTCAACAAAAAGCCCTTTCTACTTGCACCTCCCACATCACAGTGGTTGTCTGCTTCTTTATCCCTTGTATTTTCACATATGTTAGGCCTGTCTGTACCTTCTCCTTTGATAAATTTGTAAGTGTGTTTTATACAACCATCACTCCTATGCTGAACCCTTTGATCTACACCCTGAGAAACACAGAGATGAAAAATGCCATGAGGAAGCTTTGGAACAGAAATGTGATGTCCAGCTGTAAGGTAATGGATATCCTGGCCAAGCAGTGATGTTTCATAAGGGAAATGAGAGAAGATTATGAAATTGCTAGATCTTATTTGAGGTTTAGAAAGCAGGTTCTGTATATGTGAAGAAAAAGTAAGCATTCTGTTATTAGCAATAGAATCCACATTTTTGTTGTTGTTGGAATCATTTGTTCAGGAGCATGATGACTTGATGAAAAAGGCTATCCACACGAAAACATACAACTATTTGTCTCAAACTACTGATTGAAACAAATTTTTCTCTTTCTTTTCTTTTATTTTTTTCTGCAATGTATCTAATGTAGAAATAAATTTTATATGACTTCCTATGTATAATGTAAGTCATATTTCTTGCCTTTTCAATGGCTGGGTGAGGGCATAAGGGGAGGGAGATAATTTGGAAATTAAAATAAAATTTTAAAAAGACTGTCAATTCATTAGGAAAGCATCAATTCACTTTAATTAGGTGACACTTTTAAAGAGTAATTGACTCTTCCAACAAAGATGCAAAGATAATTCTGAGAATAATTTTGATCAAATATGTTTAGTGAAGGGAAATAATATGTCACAAGATATGTTTGTAATGTGGCAGTGGATATTCTACAGAAGAGAAAAAAACTAATCAATTTCTTGTTTACTTGAAGTTATCATTGTTCCAAGTTTTCCATGTAAATTAAGCAGCTTCACATGTAATATTTAACTTCATCATCCTAAAATTTTACCTCAAGGCTTAAAATATGATATAAAATCTGGTAATATCAGGATATTTGTTTTTAACAGGAATTTTTTTTATTGTCTATGTGGAGCCTAAACATGCATAAAGATGTGTGATCTTACCTTTGTAAATCAGATAACATTTCAATTGTTTCAAAAATAATATTATGTTATAATATCAATAATTAAATTTCAAACTGGCGTTTATTATCTTATATTTTTCAATAAGAAAAGTAGCATATCATAATGGATAGAATTTTGTAACTGTAGTGTAGAAGAATTAGCCTTAAATCACCTTTGCCACTATATGAATTATTTAACCCCTCAGACTTTAAAATTATTGTTATTATTATAAATAGTGACAAAAATAATCTCATTTACTTTTTTTAAAATGTGGCTTCTGAAAAAACAGTCCAAGAACAATATGTGATAAGGATATTTTTAGGTTGTTGTCTTCTTTCTATTTCTGTTTAATGCTCTATGGATTACAGTATGGCTGGAATTTTATATGACAGATTGTTTTTTTAATCAGATAACAATATTGTTTTTTTAATCAGATAACAATATTTATAAATGTAAATAGATCTCAATAATAATCTCAATGAGTTATCTTCAGTTCAATTCTAAAAACAGCAAGGAGAACAGGGAAGTTTATTTAAGTTTTCCTATCTCCATTGATTCTCTTGTCCAGATTTCCATGCTATGGAAGTTGCTTGTTCTTTGCTGGTGAGACATTATGAGTTTTTGAACTGTAAATGTCTATTAGAAGTTTGTTCTTATCTATTTCATGAATCAAAGCTATATACTTTCATTGAAAATGTTGACATCTCAATTTACAAATTGAGATTGTAAATTGGAATTGAATTGATTGAAAGATTGTGTATTTGGTAAATTACATTACAGGAAAAGATGTAAAAAACCTATTTCAGAAGAGGGAAAGAAGTGAGGGAGATGATTATCATTTGACCCTTACTCTCATCAGATTTGGCTCAAGAAGGGAATAACATAAGCGTTAGGTATGGAAATCTAACTTGCCCTACAGACAGAAGGAGGGAAAAGGGGGAAGAAAAGGGGGGGGAGAAAGGAGGGAAGAAGCATTAAGAGTAAAGGGGAAGAAAAGGGAAGGGATTAATAGAAGGGAGGAATGACTGAAGGAGGTGGTGGTCAAAAACAAAACTCTAGTGAAGAGGGAAAAGGAGAAAGAAAAGCATAAATGGGGGGAGGGGAAGGATGAAGAGAAAGACAAAGACAACAATTATAACTGTGAATATGAATAAGATGAACTCTCCCTTAAAACGGAAGTGGATAGCAGAATGGATTAAAAACCATAATCCTACAATATGTTTTTACCCGAAACATATTTGGAATAGAGTGACACACAGGCTAAAGGTAAAAGGCTGGAGCAGAATACATAATGGTTCAGCTGAAGTAAAAAAGCAGGGGTAGCAATCCCGACCCCAGATAAAGCAAAATCAAAAATAGTTCTTATCAAAAGAGATAAGGAAGGAAACTGCATCCTGCTAAAAAGTACCATAGACAATGAAGTAATAAATATCATTACTAAACATATATGCACCAAATGGTATAACATCCAAATTCTTGGAGAAGAAGTTCAGGGAGTTGCAGGATGAAATAGACAGCAAAACTGTACTAGTGGGGGACCTCAACCTCCACCTCTCTGAATTACATAAATCTAACCACAAAATAAACAAGAAAGAAGTTAAGGAGTTGAATAGAATATTAGAAAAATTCAGTATGATAGACTGCTGGAGAAACTGAATGGGGATAGAAAGGAACATACGTTTTTCTTGATGGTACATGGCACATACACAAAAAATGACCATGTACTAGGGCATAAAAACCTCACAATCTATTGTAGAAAGGCAACAATATTAAGTACATCCTTTTCAGATCATGATGAAATAAAAATTATATGTAATAAAAGGCCATGGAAAGATGGACTAAAAATAATTGGAAACTACATAATCTAATCCTAAAAAATGATTGGGTCAAACAACAAATCATAGAAACAATCAATAACTTCATTCAAGAAAATGGCAATAATGAGACAACATACCAAACTTATGGGATGAAGTGAAAGCAGTTCTTAGGGGAAGTTTTATATCTCTAAATGCTTACATGAATAAAATAGAAAAAGAAGAGATCAGTGAATTGGGCATTCAACAACAACAAAAAAAAACACTAGAAAAATAACAAATTAAAAAGCCTCAATTAAACACCAAGTTAGAAGTATTAAAAACCAAAGGAAAAGTAAATAAAATAAAAATTAAGAAAACTATTGAACTAATAAATAAAACTATGAGCTGGTTTTATGAGAAACCAAAAAAAATAGATAAACCTTCAGTTAATTTAATTAAAAAACAGAAAGAAGAAAACCAAATGACTAGTATCAAGAAGGAAAAGGGTGAATTCACCACCAAGGAAGAGGAAATTAACACAATAATTAGGAGCTATTTTGCTCAACTGTATGCCAATAAATTTCACAATCTTAGTGAAATGGATACATATTTACAAAAAAAATAAATTGCCCAGATTAACAGAAGAGGAAATAAAATACTTATATAACCCAATCTCAGAAAAAGAAATTGAACAAGCCATTGATGAACTCCCTAGGAAAAAATCTCCATGGCCAGATGGATTTACGTGTGAATTCTATCAAACATTTAAAGAAAAAATAATTCCAATACTGTATAGACAATTTGGGAAAATAGGTGAAGAAGGAGTCTTACCAAATTCTTTTTCTGATACAAATATGGTGCTGATAGCTAAACCAGGAAGTGTCAAAACAGAGAAAGAAAATTATAGACCAATTTTGCTAATGAATATAGATGCAAAAATTTTAAATAAAGTATTAGCAAATAAATTACAGCAATTTATCAAAAGAATAATACACTATGACCAGGTAGGATTTATACCAGGAATGCAGGACTGGTTTAATATTAGGAAAACCACCAGTATAATTAATCATATCAACCCTAAAACTAACAGAAACCACATGATCATCTCAATAGATGCAGAAAAAAGCTTTTGACAAAATACAGCACCCATTTCTATTAAAAACACTAGAGAACACAGGAGTAAATGGAGTTTTCCTTAAAATAATATATAACAACTACCTAAAACCTTCATCAATCATCACATAAAATGGGCACAAGCTAGAAGCATTTCCAATAAGATTTGGGGTGAAACAAAGATGTCCATTATCACCACTGTTGCTCAATATCACAGTGGAAATATTAGCTTTAGCAATAAGAGAAGAAAAAGAAATTGAAGGTATTAGAATAGGCAAAAAAGAAACAAAGCTATCGTTCTTTGTAGATGATATGATGATATACTTAGAGAATCCTAGAGAATCAAGTAAAAAACTACTTGAAATAATTAACAACTTTAGTGGAGTTGCAGGTCATAAAATAAACCCACATGAATCATTGGCATTTCTATATATTATCAGCAGAACCCAACAGCAAGAGATAGAAAGAGAAATTCCATTTAAACTTACTGTAGATATTATAAAATTTTTAAGAGAGTACCTACTGAAACAGACCTAGGAACTGTATGAACACAATCACAAAACATTTTTCACACGAGTAAAGTCAGTTCTAAATAATTGGAATAACATCAGTTGTTCATGGGTAGGCCAAGCTAATATAATAAAAATGACAATTCTACCTAAACTAATTTACTTATTCAGTGCCATACTAATCCAACTACCAAAAAATTATTTTATACAGTTAGAAAAAAATAATAACAAGATTCATTTGGAAGAACAAAAAGTCTAGAATATCAAGGGAACTAATGAAAGAAATACAGGGGAAGGTGGCCTAGCCATTCCAGATTGTATTATAATTGTATTATAAAGCACCAATCATCAAAACTGCTTGGTACTGGCTAAGAAATAGAGTGGTGGATTAGTGGAATAGGTTAAGTATGCAAGGCACAGTAGTCAATGACTATGGTAATCTGTTATTTGATAAACCCTAAGACCCCAGCTCCCGAGTTAAGAACTCACTACTTGACAAAAACTGCTGGGAAAACTGGAAAAGAGTATGGCAGAAAGTAGGCATAGATCAAAATCTTACACCATATACCAAAATAAGTCAATATGGGTTCACTGTTTAGATATAAAGGCTGATACTGTAAGCAAGCTAGGGAATGCAAGGAATAGTTTGCCTATCAGATTTATGGAGAACAGAAGAATTCATGAACAAACAGGAGATAGAGAACATTACAAATGCAAAATGGATAACTTTTATTCCATTAAATTGAAAAGTTTTTGCACAAAGTCAATGCAA